GCCCATGCAAACCTCATGAAACTCAACAAGGCCAAATTCAAGGTCCTGCACCTGCACTGAGGTAATCCAGCACAAATAAGGGCTGAGCAGAGAATGGATTGAGAGCAGAGAAGGACTTGGGAGTGTTGGTTGATGAGAAACTTAACATGATCCAGCACTGTGTGCTTGCAGCCCAGAAAGCCAACCATGACAAGAAGCGTGTCCAGCAGGTTGAAGGAGGTGATTTTCCCCCTCTACTCCATTCTCCTGAGACCCCACCTGGAGTACTGCATCCAGCTCTGGGAACCCAGAGAAGGATGCAGACCTGTTGGAGGGAATCCAGAGGAGAACCATGAAGATGATCAGAGGGCTGGAGCACCTCTCCTATGAAGACAGACTGAGAGAGTTGGGGCTGTTAAGCCTGGAGAAGAGAAGGCCCCAGGAAGACCTTACTGCAACCTTCCAGTACCTAAAGAGGGTACAAGAAAGATGGGGAGGGACTTTTTATTAGGGAATGTAGTGATGGGATTAAAGGTAACAGTTTTAAACTGAAAGAAGGTATATTTAGGTACTAGGAAGAAAGTCTGTGTGGGAGGTGAGGCACTGGAACAGGTTGTCCAGGGAAGTTGTGGATGCCTCATGTCTGGAAATGTTCAAGGCCAGGTTGGATGGGGCTTTGAGCAACCTGGTCTAGTGAAAGGTTTCCATGCCCATGGCAGGGGGGTTGGAAATATGGTCTTTGAGGTCCCTTCAAACCCAAACTGTTCTTTGATTATATGATTCTATCTTATCCTGTACTTTCAAATGATAATCAATTCTGAATAAAAGCTACAATTCCTGTTAGGTAGAAAGAAGATTGATAAGAACTGAGTAATTTTACAAAGCCCAATAAATTACTGAGTTTCATTAAGTCTTCTCTGCATTCAGTGAAGAACTTACCATTACACTAATACTCATAAGGGGCATATATATATATGTGTATATATATATGAGTGTGTGTGTGTTTTAGCCACAGAGATTTTTTTTTTAATTATGTTAAGTTGTTCTGAAAATATACAGGAGAATTAACTAAGTTAACTGAAGAGACTCACCAGAAAGTGTCTTTAAAATGCAAAAATTAAATAAAAGAACCTTAAAGTAAAGGAGAATCAGAAAGCCAGTGAGAGGGACTTTCAATGTGTGGAGGGAGCCAAGAAGAACAGGTGTAAAACTTCCAGCTGTTTCAAAGTTAAGACCTGAGAGAAACTGCTTGAGAAATTCAGGAGAGAGCGTGGGAGATAATAAAAATCTTCAAGGTAAACCATGTCTGAATGACAGAACTTCAGGAGTCTGAGTCACTGAGAGGCTGTTGATTTGCAAAAGTGCTTGCATAAAAGAGTTTGAGTTTTCACAATGGGGGTGGGAGGCAATGGAGCAGATGACTTGAGGGTGTGGAGTCTCCATCTTTGGAGGTATTCCAAACCCAACAGGACACAGCCCCAAGCACCCTGCACTGACCTCAGAGTTCATCCTGCATTCAGTGGGGGTTGGACTAGATGGTCATCTGCAATCTGAGTGATTTTATAGTCCTGTGATTTGGAAAAGTGGTCTGAAAAGCAATGAGCTCCAGAACATTTTTGCCACAATGTTTATACCTTCTCATAGACTTTATTTTTGATTTCCTACTTTCAAAGAAAGTTTTTTTGCTCAGAATTCCTGTAATTCACAACTTTGAATTAAACTTGAACATTTTACTTGATATGAATTTTTATTAATCTGAAGTTTAGCACTCTTTGGGGAAGCTTTTTCCTACTGAAATGTTTTCACAGAGAAAACACTGCAAAGCTGGAAGTACCTTTTGGATGAATTCTTTCCAGTTAGACCAATAGTACACAGT